AAGTTTGCCCAAGATTAAAGTTGTTCAGCTCCATGGCTGAGATTTCAGTTCACTCTTACAAATGGGATGTATCCTCACAAACGGATATTCTAAACCCAATTAAACAGCTTCATATGTTAAGAAGGAAGGCTGGCAGGAAGTTAGGAGGGAGGGAGGGAGGGAGGGAGGGAGGGAGAGTAGGAGGGAGGGAGGGAGGAAGGGGCCTGTCCCTTATAGTTTCAAAATCCTAGAGCTGTGCAGGTGACTAGCCTCATAACCAACATTTACAAAACAATCATTACACTTGATCAATCCCTGGGAGAAATAGCTGACTTAGTTGTGTTTAGAGGGCAGCTACCTGAACTCACTTCATTTTACTCCAAAGCAAGAGAAAGACTGATCTGTTGAGATGTCACCTATAAAGCCACATCCTCATGTCATGAGCAAAACTCAGCTAGCTCTCCAGGAGACTTCACCACCTACTCAGTCCACTGGCTCTGCTCAAGGATGGTTGGTGTGTGCCTCCATTCCATCCAAACATTAGATGCAACTTTCACTGCTTGCAGTCAAAGGCCATTCCATTCTTTTTAGGATAGAAACACTTGAATAGAAACACTTGAATACATAGGAATGACTCCAAAGAGCGAAGGGAACAGACACTCACCCAGACCCCTGTGCCCCCAACTTTAGCAGCCATGGCAGGCTGCAGAAAAGACTTAATATGTGCTTGCCTGACCTTGCCCCTCCTCCCAGTCACCAGGTCAGATAATCATGTGGCAAGGAACCAATCTGAAGGTAGCTGGTAGGCTTTGTGCATGCTTTCCAGTGCTTTAAGGTAAAAGTGCATAAAAGTGGTATAACAGTGACATACAGAGCATAGTAACCATCCTGGGAGGGCCTATAGGCCATAACAACCAGCTGACCAATCAACACAGGACAGGTCATTCAAGCGGAAGTGCACCAATCCTGAGACTACTGTGTACCCCTAGACAAGACACTCCCCTTATGCTGCCCAATAAGTTTCCCTAGGTTTCTCGGGTCCTTCTCACACCATCCACTGTGATGAACAGATGAAGGCCCAAGTTAAAGACAGTTAACTCTTTGCTTTTGCATCAGTACAGGTCTCTTGGTGATTTTAGGGTTCAGAATTTGAACCCAACAAGAGTAGAACATGACGTAGAGCACAACTGGAAGGAATTATGCTGTAATTTGCAAGGTTAGCATGCAGACTATGCTGGAGGATGGAAAATGCTGACTTCTTTTCTTGAATCTAACCCTCCTATAGTTGTGGCTCTCAACCTATGGATCGCAACTCCACTGGTAGGGTCATATATCAGATATCCTTCATATCAGGTATTTACACTACAGATAATAACAATGGCAAAATAAATTGCAGCTATGAAGGAGCAGTGAAATAATTGTATGATCGGTGGAGGTCACTACAACATGAGGAATTGAATTAAAGGGTTGCAACATTAGAAAGCTTGAGAACCTCTGACTTATAATGTCAGGAAATCATGAACTTAAAAGTCTCACCAGGAATATAATGGACTGTAAAGAAAGCCTATATCAGTTATCAGGGAGCACTCTGTGCCTCCAGCCATGTTTTAGGAATGTGTGGCCGAGAAACCTCTAACAGCCATGTTTTAGGAATGTGTGGCCGAGAAACCTCTAACAGCCATGTTTTAGGAATGTGTGGCTGAGAAACCTCTAAATTAAAGATTAAAAAGAGGCTTTCTCCCATGGATTTAACAAATTTTATTAGCAAATGTTATGAAACACATCCTTTGTTGCACCATCTTGAAGCAGGCCACCTCCGTCTTGCAGAACACTCCATAGCCCACAGCAGGTCATATTACTTCCTGCTTCCCTTCCGAAAATTTGAGGCAGCAATTTCAAGGTATTGATATTGTGATATACACATGAATCTATAGAAGCATCAGCCCTTTCTGCATTCAGCCTTCACCACTGGCAGTTAAAAATCGTGGTGATCTCCTCAATGATTGTCTACTAGCATCCTCCACCCAAGTTAGAAGCAGATGTGAATGTCTTTCTTGTCACAGTATACCATGTCCTCAATTTAAACCACCACACACTGTGTAGTAGAATCCATGTTTTCTAATAAGGGACTGAGTTGGTACCATTAGTTACATGATAGAGGTCAGACTCCAGTCCACACAGATATCTACACACCACTGCCACCACAAACAACAAAAATCTAGGATCTGTAACCATACCTTCCATTTCCTCCCCCTCCCACCTAATGACAGCCCAGTACTACTGCATGGTGTTTAAAACCCAACTGTTCTCAAGAGCTCAGGAAAATGAAAATATATACTATTTATTTACTAATCAATTTAAACCTGTAAACTGACTTCTTAACATCAAAAGTTAAACAGTAGGGGTGGAGAGATGGCTCAGCACTGAAAAGTACCTTCTGCCCTACTGAGTTCATATCCCAGCACCAACATGTGGTGGCTCACAAATGCCTGTAACACCAGGTCCTGGGAATCCAGTGTCTTCTTTGGCCTCTATGGATAATTGTATATGCATGTGACTGTACACACACAATTTTTTTTCTTTTTAAAACAATTTTATTTTACATACCAATCCCAGTTCCCTCACTCTCCCATCCAGCTCCCCCGACCTCTTCCCACCACCCCCCTCATCCACTCCTCAGAGAGGGTAAGGCCTCTGATTTTTTTTTTTTTTTTTTATTTAAGGTTAAACATAATTCTTGACAATGGTCTGGAAAGAATCAGAAGATAGTTGTAAAAGACCCAATCTCTGTAGGAAGTTGACACTGGCCTTCTGTTACTTTACCGAAGCATTGCCAAGAAAGGTCACCCGGTATTTTCCAGAAGGAAGCAACTCACACAACATCAGGTAAATCCACCTGTGGAGGTCAGAGAATATGCCACCCTAATCATTCATCCTAAGAAGCAGCCTGAGGACCTGTCATTTGTGAGTGGGAGAAAATTAGCCCTGGCCACTCACCAGCTGCACAGGAGCATCTGCGTAGCAGGCAGCCCTCACACTCACTTCCCTGAAGTAAATGCCCACACGACATTTATAGTTTGATATTTTCAGTTCTCACTGACGACAAACAAGCAAACAAAATGGACCTTCATTCTTTACATCACCCCCCTCCCTCCCTCTCTCTCAGACAGCAAAGGTTAACACACTCCTTTTCATTATCTTTCATCTCTCCAAAGAGATGACATCTCCATAGAGATGACACTTTCCCCCTAAGATCTGGAAAGGAACTCCACACTAATATATCCCATTCTGTTTCATAAGAATATCAAATTTTATTACTCAAAATACAATCACGACAAAATGTACAAAACCTTGGTATAGGAACCAGTGCCTCTTCCTGGGGAAGAAACAAAAGAAAATAAAGTTTGAGTTCTCCAGGGTTTCTTTATTTTATTCTTAAACATAGAGATCAACATTTTTAAATGCACAAAATCCTAAAATCCCTTTTCCTAATTCTTTCAACAAAGCATCTATGGTTCAATATTTTCAATGTTCAAAGGGGGGGGGAAGAATAATGAGAAAACAAACACAGGCAAAGACAGATTATTTAAGTTTCTCCATTTCCACAGACACATGGATATGGTAAGATTAACTGCCAGATGCTAGCTGGAAGAACTGAGACACTCATACATGGGATTTCTAGCTGAAAAGAGCCACTCTAGATAAATGGGAGTCATTTTTACTCTGCATTGTAGGAATGGGGCTGCCAAAAGCAAGTGGCCATAAGCAAAAGTGAGGGTTGCTCATTGCCTCGACTGAATTTCAAGAGTGATCAAATGCCCCCGTTTAACTTAGCAAGCGGAAAATTAAAATTGGATTGCTACCTGGCCCTTTGCTGGGCTAAGTAGAACACACCAATCCATCTGCCTTAGGAGCTGCTGACGCACAAGAAACAACACAAGGGTCTAAACACAAATGAATATCATCCAGCCATTCAAGCCACCTAAGCACTGGCCTGAGGATAATGAGCCCTGAGAAGGTCACTCTGTGGTCCCTGAAACCAGACAAGACATATGGAAAGAGAAGAATAACCAGAGGAGGAAAATGCACCATCATCAATACATAGATACCAATACAGATAAACAGAACCTAACTCAAAATGTTCAGAGCAGCAAACACAAAGCCCCCAAAACAAAAACTGGACACAAGCTTCCTGAGCACCCTGTGCATTTGAGAAATCAGGATGCATAACATATGCAAATCAGCTGACCCTATATAAAAAGCCTTCCAGCATAAATGGCACAATAAGTGACCTTTGTTGAATAATTAATCTAGAGGGAACTCTTACTCAGAAAGGAAATCATCCATTGTGTTTCACATTAAAATAATATAATTGGGTCAACTTTCTACTAAATATCATAGAAATTTCTCACTCAATTATATAATAGCTTAAAGCTTCTTGGGAAGCAACTGAATTCCAGCATCTAATTCTGCAAAAACAGCTGTGGAATCCTTTATCAACCATGGTGGGTGGACACGTGTTCCTGTTTAATGGTGATGTCTTTTCACATATTATTTTTAAAAAAATTAAACAAAGCTACTTTGAAAATTCCCCAATTCAATGATTAATTCAAGTCATGCACACGTGGCCCTCTTATGAGCATCATCCTGAATTTGAGAAACAACTATTTTGCACATTCTTGCTGGAACTTTCAACTTGTACTAAAGGATCTTATACCATTTGCCATACTGGAAAATGGGTATATGATGTCATGATGGCTTTTCATGGTCAGCCTATGACATTTTCACAAAATAATACCATCTGTGTTAACATTAATACTTTGACATCCCCCAAATCATCTTCAGCAGAAGTACCAACAGTGTGACCAAAGTGAAGCTGGGCAAGTCAATACCTAGTCCTTTGTAATAACCTGGTAGACTCTGGTGCAGTAAACAACAAGTAAATCTCCCATGTTCCCTTCATCTTTCAAACAGTCATCTCTGTAAAGGAGAGATGAGCGATGAAGACCAGACATGCCTACCTTCGCTGGTGGCCACATTCTTCTGGGCTTTGGTTGGTGTGTGATCTGTACTTGAACTCACGTCGGATGAGATGCTTGAGCTGCCTTTGCCTGGAGCAAAACAAGAAAAATAAATAAATAAATAAATAAATAAATAAATAAATAAATAAATAAAATAAAACAGCTTCTGAGTTTTGTAATCTCCATGCCTTTTATTCAGTCACACACTAAGCCACTCACTTCCAACTAACAAGCTCTAACACAAAAGGTGGAGTTTACTAAAGGGTTTTGACTTGTGTATTAAATATCTTTGGGGAAATGCCTTACCTGCATTTCAGCAGAACTAAAGTCCTCTTATAATAGGGCCTAATTAGAAACTCAGACAAGATGATAAGACATGCCGAATGTGCTAATATAAGCTTGCTTTGGAATAAATGTGAGTAAGTACATGATGGGAATACATCCACTGCATTAACACAATTACACATTTTAAATTTCATAGCACTGGAAATTAAGAAATTGAAGAATGAAAGATTACCAGAGCAGCCAGAGCTTTCTGGCTCCATATGACTTTATCATTTAAGAACACAAATTCCATGGTTTAATATGACTTTCTGGGAAATAACAGAAAACCAAGTACATGGGTTTTTGGACCAACAGTGGTCCTCCATCCTGGAAGCATTTTCTATTCAAGAGGATGCATGTGGATGCTTGGCATCATTTTCGGCTGCCATAGGCAGGACAGAGGTGCTCCTGGAACCTGGAGGACAGGGGCCAAGGTTGCTGCTAAATGTCTTACAGTAGGCACAACAATCCTCCACAAGAAAGAATATTATAGCTTAAATTCCAGTCACACTTCAGTTGATTTTTACCTAATTTTAGGTAAAATCTGGTCTACCTGATTTTACCTAAATCCAGGGCTGAGTTTCCACACAGTGGAGGGCCTGAGAGCTCTGGTGGGAGATTTCAAAATGCTCCTTGCTGATACCCAATACTCCCATCTCCTCCCTGTAATTTAAATCACCTGTAGCACTGTAACTTTTTATCACAATTCACCAAGGTTGAGGTGGCAATGTGACTAAAATCCCTAGGTTAATGTCTTCAATTACGCAAAAGGAAGACTACCTTATGTAAACTGGACAGAATGAGGTAAGTGCTTTGAGGTGGTTTAGAGGGAGGGGGACCTCCTGCTGCCCTTGAGCCTCAAGTAGTAAATGTTAAGGTCAGGGTTAGGCTTATCATACACTGCAATGGAATGGATTTGGCCAACATCAACTGAGATGAGAAGAGGACCCTGGATACCCACAAGAGCATGACTCTGGCTAATGGCTTGGTTGCGTATTTGTACTACCCTGTGCAAAGGACTCAGATATTGTATATCCAGAATCCTAATCCAACTGTGAAATAATACTTGCATCTCACATGTGTTATACTCTGTTATACTCTGTTATACTCATGTGATTTTTGCAGCAACAGAAAACCCACTAACTATACAAAAGATGCAATTGTTTCATTCCACAAGTTATGATCAAAAGTTTATAGTACACCAAGAAACACTGTTTTCTAATAGTCTGTGCAATGGTATATTCAGTGCATTGGATATTTACTTTCTACCAAATTGTTGAAATCTTAACCCCTAAGGAAACAGCATTAAGAGATGAAGGACTTGGTGGTACTTAGATCATTAGACTGGAATCTTCATAAATGAAATCTGTGTCCTTGTGGAAAAGCTTCCTGCCTTCTTCTGCCACATGACGGTAAAACAGAACAGCAGTATGTGAATCAGGGAGCAGGTTGTTAGCATCCCAATCCTAAACTACCAACTTTTAAACTGTAAGGAATAGGTTTTATTGCATATATACCACCCAGTGTATATATTGCATATATACACCATATATTATATATTATATATTATTTCATCATAATAGCCCATATGGACTAAACCAGTTTTGATTGAGTAAGCCCATAATCTAATTTCACAGAGTAGAAGAGCATAAAGTCTTAAGATATAATGAGTTTCAGAATTCTGTCTGCTATGTTGAAAGTAGTGGAAAAATTCAAGTTCGTGGATAATATCACCTGGACAAGACAATTGGATGTTTCCCATTACCACCTCCCCTACCTCACTGTGACAGCGCTCCAAAAACAATTCTTCCATTTAGATGGCATTTCATAAATGCTTCCCTTGACATTAAGTGAGATATAGTAACTGTATTTATTTGGGTCTAACTAGGCTTTTGGACTGGTGCTGTTCAACGTAGACTGACATAGTGAGCCAATCATCTACTTAGAAGTATGTGAACTTGGTATCTAAGTTCAGTTTAAATCCTCCTTGCTTTATAATCTTGGATGGTCATTCCCCACGCTGCCCTTCTGTGCTGGAGATTCAGCAACTCTATCTGGCAGGGGAGGCACTTAGACTGAAAGGTTCCTGCTGGCTGGAATTGTTAATGACTCTGAGTCCATTAGATTATTCTTCAAAGCCAAGTAACATAAACACTCCCTTTAACAGGGCAAAAATGTTATTGTACACCACCTAATACAAAGACTTAAATTATTTTAATTATGCTATTGCTTAGTGATGCACAAATGGAAAACTTAAAATAAATTCCATATGTTCTACCTCTGATTTAACAAGAGAAGCAAAACAAAATAACAGATTTAGTACAAAATAATAAAATACGTAATATTAAAGTATAACAGCATTAATTTAACATAATATGTAATGCTATTCTTTGTTTTGTTTTGCTTGTTTACTGAGATTAACTTGCATTTCAAATCTTAAACTCTGTCTGCTAAAGTCAATGTGTGCCTGGATTAAAGAAGTCTTTGCTACTCTGGGATGTGTGAGAATTAACTCCACCTGTCCATCACTCCTTGTAAAGAACTCAGGAATTCCTTTGATTTTTTTGCAGAGAGGGTCTTACTATGTAGTTTTGTCTTAAACTTGCCTATGTAGATCAGGATGGCCATGAAATCACAGAGATGTGCCTCCCTCTAGCTCCCAAATGCTGAGATTAAAAATGGCAGTTACCATAACAGGAAGAGAGTTCGCTCTTACAACAAAACTGACCATCATCAGAATTTCATGTGGTCTAGTTTCATCATTCACATCTTCAGGTTTTTGTTTTTCTACACTATCAGTATAAAATCATTGGAGAGATGAACAAGATGTCATTCTAAAGTCCCACTGCACACAATAAGTGAGACTTACTTATCCACCTCAATGGACTAATTTGTTGTATGAATATTTGCACACAATGAGCAATGATTAAATCTGGACACTCAGAGTGTCTATCTCCTTAAATGGTCATTGCTTTGTGTTGGAAGTATTCATTTTTAAATTGCCATCACATGGAAAGTACAAAGACAATACATGCCTAAGGAAAATCTTAGTCACAGATGGAAATGTGTGCATACCCTCCCTGTGCTAATGAACGAAGAAACGGAATAAAGGTGAAGTAACAATTTAATGAAAGGTTCCATATAGAGCTGTCTGCGAGCACCTGGGTTATGGGATGCACCCTCATGCTTTAGATATTAAATATTCACTCTGCTCTCAAGTGTGCTTCTGAATCTGTTTTGCATCTCAAAGAAAATTGTAGATTTCTCCATTTGCTAATTATCCCCACCAATACCAGTACAACATCATGGTTATGATGGACAGCTCCTAAACAGGGAGAGTATACACCTATTTTATGCACAAGAAGAACAAGGGTTTTTGTCCCCTGAGGACATGACTGCATCGATCGGTGTTGTATGTCCTTCAGTAAGTAGACATTTTGAAAGCATATTAACATCTAATGCATTAATTAAGGAATGCAAGATAATAAGAGCTCAATTCCAGTTGGTTCTCATGGTTTGAGGTAGTTGCATTTAACAATGTCATCACAAATAAACAAGCATGGCTCTGGATCGTCATATGAACCTCTGCTCAACAGATCAATGGAAAACCTTGTTTATATGTGTTCCTCTTCAAAGTTAACATGTTTTATGTGCTTTTGGCTTATTTATATTGAACTTAAGGCCAACAGCACTGCAAATTGAGCATGGATGAGGATAATCTATATGGGACATCAGAGTCTGTTTTTAGGAACCCTAGAAAGCTTTTAGGAACTATGCCTGGAACATTTTAAATAGCAAATTTACCATGAGACAGTAGTGATAAAAACACACCAATAAACACACCATAAAGCAACACTGGTGATGACTGAAGGTGTAGTGCAGTGGTAGATTACTTACCAAACAAGTACAAAAGACTGAGTTTGATCCCATTAATGCAAAAAAAAAAAAAAAAAAAAAAAAAAAGCCAAAATAACAAGAATAACAAAACATAAAAAACCAAACCAAGAGTGGCATACAGGAGACAGATGGCAGAGTGTCCCCCTGTTTAAACTTCTCATGAGAACATACTCATGAGACAATCAAGTTTTCATTATCTAGGTGCAGGGCTGTGGCTGATCAAATAATGACATAGGCAGATTAATTTGAGAATAAGTATCTGTCAATATGAGGGTTGAGGGTTGATTTCAAATCATCATGTATTAAATGTTTTCTGCATCTTCTTTCCAGATTTCATGATGACTACAATGAGTGGTGTGAAGGATCCAGAGACAAGAAGTCTAAGTTTGTATCTGCAGTTTGCATTTCCTGGTCTTGGAAAGACAATTAAACCCTTTCCATCTTATGAAAAGCAATTCTTACATTCAATAGTTACTGTGGTCATTAATTTAAAAAAAATAACTCAGATACATTTCAAGGGATGGGAAAAGAAGTTCATACATAGCCAATTTCTTAGTACAATTGGCTTTATTTTATAGACATCACCATGGTGTTATCATCTGCCTTGGATCTGGCATTATAACCAGTTTCCCAGTGTGTTCGAGAAATATGAGAAAGGTCATGGAGTGGAGAACAGAATTAGGTATTGAATGATATCAAATATGGAAGATCCATCCCACTGAAGTTGATAAATGTTATCTATAACAATTTAAAATGCCCAATAATTATAACTCTTGCCATAAATACTTCAGCTGGTGGATCAAATATTTTGGCTATTTCAGACACATTACTAACCCAGTGATGTGAGAAGAACCCCGTGCCTGCCTCCA